AGCTAACATCGATTGCCAATCTTCCTGGATTTTTGCCTGTGGAAGATTAGCCCTGTGCTAACACCTGTGCTAATCTTCCTCTATTTCGTATGTGGATCACTGCCACAGCATGGCTGACAAGTGGTGTAAGTCCACTCCTGGGATCTGAACCTGCTAACACCAGCCACTGAGGCAGAGCACACTGAACTTAACCACTACGCCACAGGGCCAGCCCCTAAAACGTATTTTTTAACTATTTAAAACGTTTGTTCCAATTTATATTAAAAGCATTTTAAACAACTTCTGAAACTGTCTGTGAAGCATAACTGACCAGTTTTCATTTTGCCTGTATAAACGCATTTGTTATAAAGCTTCATGGAAACTAAGGCCTATTGACCTAGTGGCGTAGTGGTTAAGTTCACATGCTCTCCTTCAGCAGCCTGGGGTTCGCAGGTTCAGATCCCAGGAAAGGACCTACACACTGCTCATCAAACTATGCTGTGGAGGCCTCCCACAGAAAAGAGAGGAACATTGGCATAGATGTTAGCTCAGGGCCAGTCTTCTTCACCAAAAAAATAGAGAGAAAGAAAAAAAGAAAAAGAAACTGAGTACTATTTGTTGGCAGAAAGATGGAGTGGAGTTACAGAGAGCAAGATGGTCCCAGAAACTCAGAAGTCTATGTCTCGTAGCCCTCTAATACACTTCCAAACCATCAAATGTGAATTGATACAAACTTTAGAAACAGAAAAAAAGAAATGAATTTGGGGTACATTAATAATTTTGGCAAATTGGTTCCTCCATAAACTGACTTTTGGTGGGTTGGGTTCATCGAATAAACTGGGATTCTTTTTGGATCACAAAGTAATCTACAGACCCTCTGAAAAGTCCCCTCCACTCTGCTTCTAAGCTGGGTTTATGAAAAAAAAAAAAAGCATGTCATGGCACTCCTCTGCTTAAATTCCCTCTATTTTTACTTGTTATACTGTGAAGAAAATCCAGGCGACTTTTAATGATGCTGTCATCAAACCTCACAAAGACTGGGACACCTAAAGCCCACCCTCTAATCACACCAAGCCACACGCTGTGAGTGACGTCCTCCCACCCCAGCCCCAGTCCTGCTAATCCTCCCTGTCTGCACTCAGGTAAATGCTTTTGCCTGGAATGAACATAGCCCTTTAACTGTCGAGCCCTCATCTCCTCTGAGAGGTGCATCTGGAAGGCCTGTCTTTCAACTCTGCCATGACCTCTATGCCATCAACTCCCCAACCTCCTCATTTTGAAAAATTATTATTCATGAATTAATGCACAAATAGTAATCATCTTCTAGTCCTATGTCATCAACCCATTCCAGGAGAAAAGAAAATAACTGACCAATGGACACCACTATCAATTTATAGTCTTAGGAGTGCCCTGAACCCTCAACACTGTTGAGTCTTGTCTTTAGTTAGCAGTATTTGACATTCCCTGTATTTGACTAGCTGGTACAGACTTTTGTTTCTTTTATTTTTCCTCCATGTATGTCTCCCCTCCAATGTGTGAACTCCTAAAAGACAGGATCCAAGCATTTTCATCTTTGAAACCCAGGACCCTATTTCTGTAGGTGTGTAAAAAATACTGTTATGTGGCAGTATCCAACGTCTGAGGTCTGTTGGGCTTTTGGGAAGGGAGACCAAGCTACAGTAAACAAACCACATGGAGGGGCCAGAGCTCAGACACAGGGGGACCCCTGATCATGAGGGTGAGGAAGGCAGGGCACTTGGACATGTGGCACAGGACAGGCTTTTAGACATTTGTCAGAAGCTACAATGAGGAGTGGTGAGTCCCTCTTCCTGTAAATTGAATCAAGATATGTGAAATATGATCCTGGACTCTCTACCAGAAAAGTCCATGTAGCTCACAAAGCTGCATTCACTTTCTTCTTCTTTCGTAAGTTTCTATTAAGACTCCGTATTTTGCACTCAAGTTTCCACACTTGTGAGCCCACTGAGAGGAGGACCAGGTTCTCAGATCTGAAATGATAGGTAAAATGGCAGTTCTGTGCAGGGGTAGTCGTGTTACTTCAGAGAGGGAAAATGCAGTGGATTCACAATCAAATACATCTAATATGCTCTCCCTGCTCTTTCTCTCCATAAAGATGAGGTAAGAGGTAGGAATTCAAAATCATAATGATTCCATCATCTGCATAGAGATGAGAAATAACAAGAAGACTTTTCTGTCTTTGCTAATGACATTAAAAATTGAACTCGCTACTATTGTATTAAAACCTAATGCATATGTTACCCACCACAGATTGCAGAGGACCTTTACAAATTATATCTGCATTCACGACAGTGGTCCTGTGAAGTATGTATTGTTTCTACAGATGAAGCAGAACTAAGTCTTTCAGAGCTTAAATGGCTTATCCATTGTAACTCTGCTACTAATTGGACTCCTTCTTAAGATTCTCTAAAACAAGATTTAAAGAGAGAACTTTGTGCAAGGAGAAAGAACCTACTCTATGTGTGTCATAGAAAATTCATATAACTGGTTACGTAAGGATTGATACAGGGGACATATGGAAGTAGCTTCACAAAGACTGAGAGAAATTTTGGGATAAATGCTTGATAAATTTTTATTAAATGGAAATAATATTTTGGGGGCAGCATTTCTATATATATTACTGCTGGCATTAAGGAGGACCCAGAATCCTTCAGGATATACAATGTTTCCTGCTTCCTGAAGTGAACACAGAATAGGTCCTGGATGGCCCTTCTGGTGACAAGATGATTATTATGTTCACAGTTAACACCGCTGATCAAGTATAGATCCTAAAGCATGCTGGCCAGGGCAGATGTTTTCTCCCTGAGTTTCAACAAGGAAGAAGTCCACAACTTTTATCCTCCACCCTGAGGGAACAGAGGATGTCCCCTGGGGAGAGTCTCCCTCCTGTAACCCTGACCCACATCAATGACGGTTTTCTATCCCTTTGTCTACCCACATGGGCACCCTGCCCTCATCCTAGGTGCCCTGTCTCCACAGAGGCCGGACAGGGTGACTCAGGTGAGGCACCTGGAATCAGGACGTTTGTCCGAGTTGCCTTCCTCTCAGACCAGGCCTGCAGTGGCTGCCCTGAGTAATGCAGCAGGGATGTGGGCAGTGCAGAGAGCTCTAGAAAATGTAGGGAGGCTGACTGGGTCAGAGGAAACAGCTGGCAGAACTCCAAACCAGAGCCTTTCAGATGAATTTTTAGCCAACTAGAAAAAGATTCTAGGTGATACCGTTGTTGCTAGTAGAAAAGATTGTGTGAAGAAGCTGTGAGGCTGGGAGATCCCCAGGTATGACGCAGTCTCCACTCCACAGCCGCAAAACAGAACTGAGGGACATTTCCCCCTTAGAACAGAAGGGAGGGCATGGGCCACAGGCCTCTCTGCTGCTCTGAGGGACCCTGGGGTAGCGCTGAGGGAACTGAGGCACCTTCAAGGTCCCTCTCTGACCATTCTTCCTGGCCCCCAACCCTATTCCAGGTCTGAGTTTGATGTTCCTCCTTTATGCTTCCACCCCACGGTGGAAACTCTCTTTATTCTGGAGTTATCCTGATCTTGATGCACCACTGCTGGTGGAAGCCCAGTGGCAAATATCCCAGTCTCAGGTGCTGTGGAACTAGGCACCTCATACAGAATATTGGAGTAACAAACTGCCTCCATGTGCCACTAATGGAAACTTGCTTTTGTTGCCTCTTCCCTATTTCTTTTTACCTGGCAAACTCCTTATATTCTGCTTTTACATCCTGTTGTCTGTTTTAAAAGGAAAACATAAAATACAGGGAAGAGAGAGAGGGAGGGAGAGAAGGAGAGAGGGCGATACTTATTGTCTTGTTTATTAATGTTTGCCAGGCACTGTTCTAACTGCTTTAAAGCCATTTAGTACTGCCCCCAGTCATGAACGAGAGGAGCCTGATAAACAATATATTTACTAAGAAAAATATATTGATACTTCTGCCATTTGGGGTTTGACGCTTAGGGCTGACACAGTAATCTGTAACTCTAAACATCTGCTCCCTTATTAACACTACTAGGGTCCAGGCAATGCTTCTGCACATCGTTTGCTCTCTGTCCTTGAAACTAAAGGTGACTGTGTCTCAATCCTGTGAAGGTTTGTAGATTGTGCCTTGCTGACATTAGATGACCCCATTTCATGGTCAGGGAGGATTTAAGCAGCTGAAGAGCCTATTAGAAAAAAGCCAACAACTTCTCAAATACTTTCATTCAAAGAGCAGGAATGCAGTAGATTCTTGCATAATGTGGAATTACTTGCCAGCAGGGCTGGGTGTATATTTTTTTGCTTGTTTTCTTGCTTCATTTATTAACCTGATATTTCTAACAGTTGCACATGGCAGCTGAGAACATTTTGCAATATTAAAGAAGTCATAATACTCTTAAGTTTGTATATTTGAAGATCCAGATGTAAAAATGCTTGAAACATGATCCACATTTTACAAAGAGAAGCCTCAGGCAAAAAGAGGTTCAGTCATTTGTAGACTCTCATAAAGCACATTAATGGCGGAACTGCAGCTGAAAATCATTTCCTTCTAAGAGCTCCGTTCCTCCCACCATAACTTAAGGCTCCTCCGAGTGTCTAAGATAATAGAAGTGAACATCCCTGTGACAATAATTTTCCCTTCCCTGAGATATGATCCCCACTTATTTTCCCCTACTAAAACTTCCAAGTATAAGAACTATAGGTTTCAACAAAATATCACAAAGATGTCAACTCTTGAATCATTTTTCTTTCGGTTCTTTAAACCCTCAAGGCATTCAATCTTCAGATCTATAACTGAGAGAAAATCTTCACCTTAAATGTTCATCCAGTGCAATGTGATGAAGACACAGTGCCAGGCAGTGGACTGAGAACGTTCATAAAAAATGTCTGCCCAGAGACAGCTGAGGTCCTTCAGCTCCAGTGCTCATTGGTTCCTTTCCGAGGGCCTCTCCAATTCTATCCTTCATGGAAGCTTCACAGGTTTTTTATTCTCTGAAGTAGGTACATTAGAGCCACCAGGTGCGAGCTGTGTTGCCTACCATTACTTCTTCCTTTGTTCCCAATTATGTCTGGGAAGATGGCTCCTCAGATCCCCAGGGGCCTTTGGACAGCAGCTATGATGGCGATGCTGGTGGTGCTGAGCACCCCGGTGGCTGAGGGCAGAGACTCTCCACGTGAGTGCAGGGCAGCTGCTCTCCAGAGCCACCACCCTGGGGAACAGGCTCTGAATGAGCCTTGGGCTGGGGTGTGGGGGATTCTGTGATCTCAGAATACAGTCTTTCTATGGGGAAGAGAGGTATGTTACATTCTCATTTCCTCCTCCTAATGTCGAGGTGAGGACAATCCCCATCTCACAAGCTGAAGCTGGGAAGGAGACAAAGCCTGCATCTGCCACCAGCGCTAGGACAAAGTGAGCATAGGGTTATTTTTGAAGATATGAATTTCTCCAAAGAAGATGCAGCAGGATTTGTCATTTCAGAGTCTGGGACTCTGGGTTGGGAAAATGTAGGGCAGCAATGGTCTCCGTAGTCTCATATTTGAGGAAAGAACTCTACACTCCTGACTCTGAGTGGAGGGCTCGTGGAGGCAAACTCTGGGTATTTGAGTGAAGCTGGCAGGGTGATCACAGTCAGGGAGTCTTCAAGTTTCACAGATTTATGGTCAAATAGTAACTTGAGTGGGATTCAGAGACTTGAGTTAAAGGTGGACTAAATTTAGCAGACAGTAGAATGTAAAGAAGGAAAGTAATACATATTGAGAAACCATTCATTTCAGACACAGATTAGTATCTTCATGTGAATTCTCAATCTTCCTAACACCCATGTGTAGGTATTATGACTCCCTTTTGTACAATTATACTTACCGTATAGATACTCTAAGTAACCTGCCGGAGCTGGTAATTGGCACGGTTTAACTGGAGTCTAATTTATCTAATTTGAAAGCCTGCGCTCTTTCCATGAATCAAATGTTCTTTTCTAGGACACAGGAGGTATCCTCTCTTCTAACCACACAGGAGTCAGAGAGCCTCACACTGCGGTGGGATGGGGGTGGCAGAAACTCAGAGTAAACCCGGCATGGGAAGGGAGGCCCTTTATCCAAGAACAAGAGAATCTACCTGTCAGGGCTAGGACAAGCTTCATTCTTGACCTTTCCTGTCATTCTCTTGAACTCTTGTGATTACGCGGACACTTGTTTGTCTCTGAGGCCCCCAGGAGTTCTACGGAAAATGGGATTTCACGAGAGAACGTCCTGATTCCTCTAAGTACAGGGACTGGTGTAAAATAACCCTATTGCCCTCTTTACTCAGTTCACAGGTCCCGGGGCTTTCCTTTCCTTCTCTCATATGAAGGCAATTCTGGAAGCCCTCAGAGCGGGGCGGGAAGGCCTGCGGAAGAGCTGCCTGAGCATCCTGGGTTCAAAGCCGGAGGCGCGAGGCCGGGTGGGGCGGGACCCCAAGGTGACAGCCTGGTTTTAGGTTTATCCGATCCAACCGGCTGCGACCCAGAACGCCGGCCAGCAGAGCGGCTGCTGCGTTGGGCTGTGGGGCTGAGGCCGGACTGACGGCAGGGCTGTGATCCCCCGCAGAGGATTTCGTGTTCCAGCTTAAGGGCCAGTGCTACTTCACCAACGGGACGGAGCGGGTGCGGCTCGTGACCAGACTCATCTACAACCGGGAGGAGTTCGTGCGCTTCGACAGCGACGTGGGGGAGTTCCAGGCAGTGACCGAGCTGGGGCGGCACATTGCCGAGGACTGGAACGGACAGAAGGACGTCCTGGAGCAGAAGCGGGCCGAGCTGGACACGGTGTGCAGACACAACTACCAGGTGGAGGCCCTCACGACCTTACAGCGCCGAGGTGAGCGCCGGCCACCCGCCCTCCGCGGGGCCACTCTCGGAGGCGGCCGAGTCTCGGAGCTGGGAGGGCGGTAGGGGGCCCACGGAGGGGACAGGGAGGGGGCGGGTCCCGCGGCGGAGGGGCGGGGACCGAGGGCAACTCGAGGACCGACGTCTGCAGCCCCCCTCCCCCCAGCATCACCATTCACTTCAGACATAGACATTTTGAAAGTTAATCATACTCATTTAATGAGCATCTATTTCTAGACAATTAGCTGACCAAACACAGTCTATATTTTGCCGTTTAATTTCACAACTACTTGTGTGTTAGGGATTAGCGTCACCACTTTAATAATATGCTAATAGTGGTACATAATAAACCCTTTAAGTGATCAGTCCACAGTTACCCACCAGGTCCTGAAGTCTCCCCAAAATACACAATAGTCATTATGTTCTTTATTACCTGTATATAGAGTCTAATGGGAGGAAAGCCTCGTTAAAGCCTATTATGACCAGAAGCAGCAATAGGAGACTCTTCTGGCGTATTTTCAATGTTGGTGGGGCGAAGTGATATTGTCAGGGGATTGAAAATTCACGGATTAATCCCTAGCCTGACTCTGGTGTTATCTATGCACGTTCGTGTAACTTTAGCTGATTTTACACTCTCTTGCCTTCTGACCCAGATGGTAGTGCCACCAAGTACTTCTATTTTTGCTATTTCAGTTCTTTTTCAGAAAAATTATTCTAACATTCTTTTCTTGAATTTGTGCCCTCTATTTTTATTCCCAATCTGTTTAAGATGAACAGATTTTATAAATCCATATGGCTGACCATGATTTCAGTCTGACTCCAGAAATGAGAACCTGAACAAGAGTTAAAGTTTGGGCTGAAGACATGATTCCTTCCTGGTGATGGCTCACGAGTGCCATTTAACTGGGGTACCAAGACTGCCCGCTGACCTCGGCAAGTCCCAGTTATGCTTTCATGTTTACATTACATTCTCATTAGCCCAGGCCCACCTCTGCAAGAGTCTCAGAATATTTTCTACAGAGAACATACATGATAATAATGTCTGATTTCAGAACAAGAAAGTAATTCTTAATAACAAAGGGATGGAGTAGGGAAGCCAGCTAGTAATTAAACTCTAATGTTAAAAGAAAAGTATAAAAAAAAAAAAAGAAAATGAGAGAACATAATATATTATCAAATAAATAAAACATAAATAAATAAATAAAACATAGTTTCTCACTAAGGGGATAAGGGAGACGCACTGAATGGCTGGACAGGTAAAGGAGAAGACGTGTGAAATAGGTAGGGAGAGGTGTGTGGTATTTAACCATGAGTAGCAATCTGAGAAGATACAGGAATCGAGGCAGGAGCTATTTGTTTTCAAATTTCCCTTTCTTTTCCTTCAAAAATCACACACTTTTGAAATAATATTCATTTTTTTTGTCTCTGTTACTAAATTACAAGTTCTGTAAGGGCAGGGACTATGATCTGTTGTTTATATTTGGATTCCCAGTGCTTGTCAAGTTTATGTTTGTTGAATGAATGAATAAGTGAATCAATGAATGAATAAAATATAAGTGGCAAATATGATGCAGAGATGGAAGTTCATGTATTTAATAATATACATTTTTTTTTGTGGGAATTCATCACAGAATGGCATTTGAGCAAAGGTTAGGCTAAAAGCTGAGAGGGATGCTTTGTTGATCTGCAACTGGTAAGAAGTGCTCTTGCTCTCAAAGTTTGTTAGTATTACAGGCTGAGAATTATGGGATATAGCCTTTTTGAGAAGCACTGCTTTGTAGGAAGGATGTGATGGTCACTGCTGTCCTACTTCGTTGGATGTAGAAATGTCTATACATTCTTAATGCTCAGTCCATGTTACCTTTTGTGAGGCCATGACTAGTGTTGATGGACTCCCGGCCAGGAGAGAGTCAAAGCTGCTGTATTTTCTCTACTGTGAGGAGCACAGGGACTAACAGAAAACAGTGTCACTGCCCTAGCATGAGTCACTAGAGCTAATCCTGGTGATCAACTTCAATAGAAGTGAGGGAAAGGATGTCCTGGTTTATTATTTTTACTTTTATAAATTTTTTGAATAGTAGCCTCTGTAACAAAACAATTTATAATTTTAAAGTGGTTTATTTTTATCAATTAGTATCAACAGAATAACTACCATAGGATGATTACTGTTATCTCTTGAGACCCTGAAAGTAGACTAACTAATGCGTTTATTCAAGTTAATAAAGTGGCCATGCTCAAATCATAACCCAAGACTTGGAGTCCAGGGATCTCTACTCTGGTACCAAGGATGACTCTCCCCATGCGGAGACTTGCCGTGTGGTCTCACATCTCACTATGTCTTTTCTTCCCTTCAGTGGAACCCAGAGTGACCATCTCCCCATCCAGGACAGAGGTTCTAAACCGCCACAACCTGCTGGTCTGCTCGGTGACAGATTTCTATCCCGGCCAGATCAAAGTTCGGTGGTTCCGGAATGACCAGGAGGAGACAGCCGGTATTGTGTCCACCCCCCTTATTAGGAACGGAGACTGGACCTTCCAGATCCTTGTGATGCTGGAAATGACCCCCCAGCGAGGAGATGTCTACACCTGCCACGTGGAGCACCCCAGCCCCCAGAGCCCCATCACAGTGCAGTGGCGTAAGTAACAAAAATTTGTTTCCTTTCAATGTGGGCTCCACAAGACAGAGGGCAGAGCTTCCATTGGCCCCTCCCATCTCATCCCTTATCCTCGATGCCACTACAGAGCTGGAAATCACAATAGACTAGAGTGCCTCTTGTCCCATGGCAGGAGCATCAGAGGAATTCTGATCTTATTGTCTTTCTTGATAATAGAGAGATCACCCTACACATCATGGCCCCAGAGACCAGCCCTGATAGCTCTGAAGGATTGACTTTTATTATAGTTGGTGCCTGGGATCTTAGGGTCTAAGGTTATGAACGTGTCCTGAGGAGCAGAGATCCTCCCACTCTCTCATCCACCCACTATGTCCAAGGATTTATTGGCAGGTCCCTTCCTCCCCTAGGAGTGGTCAGAATTGAGAACTGGGTTGCCCTGGCATCTCTACCTCCTGTATCTCAGACTGGACTTCAGGCTTCCCAAAGGGACCCTGTGAAGGGTGGGGCAGGCCCTGACACTCAGGCTCTGCTCCCCAGGGACACACTCTGAATCTGCCCAGAACAAGATGCTCTGTGGAATCGGGAGCTTCGTGCTTGGGCTGGTCTTCCTTGGGCTGAGTCTCATCATCCATCACAGGAGCCAGAAGGGTAAGGCACTGTGGGGAAACAGAGAAGATGAGCTGTGACTGAGACCCTCTGCTCAGGGGTCCTCTGCCTCTAGCTGTTCAGGGAGACCTCCTCCTCTTGACCTGGAAAGGAAGGAGGCTGGTCTGGCAGTGGGAGGAGATGGAACAACCTGGGGGGAAGCATTGGAACCTCATTTTACTGGTTGAAAGGTAGCCCGACCACAGAGGTGACTGGTAGAGTGTGTTCTAGGACTTCCTTCCAATTCATCGTCACACTGGCTCTTTTCTGAAAGCTTCCTCCATTAAGAGGGTCAGAGCATTGGCTTCCCTTCCTTCTAGTGACAGTTTCATTGATTTTGGGGGATTTTGGCTGAGGGCAGTTAAGGCCTTGTGCCCGATGGGTAGGAGGAAATAAATTTCCAATGAAGTTGTATATTTCATTTCCCTTTGGGGTATTTGAGGGACTGGATGTTTGTGTAATGAAACCTTTCTCTGTATAACTTCATTTCATAGGACCTCGTGGGTCTCCACCAGCAGGTACTATTTCTGCTCGGATTCACTGTGGGGTGTCGGGACAGGTGAAAGAGGGAAGAGCTGGGGTGAGTGTACTGGGCACAATGGTCTCAGTTCATGGCCTGTTCCCTGCCACAGGGATCAAGGTTAGGGGAGAAGTTTGTCTAGTTTCTGTAGGAAGCTCCCTAGGTTGCTCCCCAGCACTGGGCCATACCTTTAGTGATGTCTTTCTGTGAAACTTGGAGTCTGCTCTTTTGTAATGCCTGCCTGTCCTTTCTAAAATTCCCAGCTGCCTGTGTCAGCCTGTGCCCTTTTCAGATCAGAGTCCTATAGAGACTCTGACACAGTCTCCGGGTCACCTCCTGTAACCCCAGCCTTGAGGATCTGACTGTGACACTGCTTCCTGCACTGACCCCAGAGCCTCTGCCTGTGCAGTTGCTGCCAGCAGTGTCTACTCAGGTCCCAAGGGGTTTTTCTGTTTCCATTCTCCCCCCACAGACTGTATAAGAGAAGCACATTGAAACAAATGGACAAAGAAAGACACAGAGAAATTGGGAAAGATGCACAGTTAGAAATATAACAGAGAAAGAGAGAAAGGTGCACAGATAGAGATATAACAGAAAGAGAAGAGAGAGATAAAGACCTCATTGAATATCTGGATCTAATCACTTCTGAAATCAACTTGTCTCACAGCTTACGGGAAACAACTTACCTGACTATAGAGCTTTTATAATAATTAAACGTGATTATGAGTTATCTGTACCCTGAGCTTTTTTTTTTTTGGTGAGGAAGGCTTGCCCTGAACTAATATATGTTGCTAATCTTCCTCTTCTTGCTTGAGGAAGCTTGTCCCTGAGCTAACATCTGTGCCAATATTCCTCTATTTTTTGTACATGGGATACCAACACAGAATGGCTTGATGAGCAGTGTGTAGGTCCACGCCCGGAATCTGAACCTGTGAACTCCAGGCTGCTGAAGTGGAGCACGTGAACTTAACCACTACACCACCAGGCTGGCCCCTACCTGGGCTTTCTTAACTGGGTGGGGGCAGGAAACCACTGCAGAATGAAAGGAACATATTTTGTTCCTTGAAAGGAGACTAGAGGTGGGTGACAGGTAAGAGTGAGCAGAGGAGACAGAAAATCGATTCAACGTCACATCCTCCATGGCTCTTTAGTACTGATGTTCAATGCAATGGCCTTAGCATGTGCTGACCTCTCTTCCAGTTTGGTGAGTACGGTGAATGGAAGCATAGAGAAACTATCTGAGCACAGATATAATGGCCCCTGGTGTTGCAGAGAACCGAACTGATATTTCAGATATATCTTGGCCAGTCACATTGATCAACGTCAATTTTTACTTTTGAAAACGTATGACCAGCAATAAAAGTACTATTTTTGGTTCCAAATGATAGAAACCCAAGGCAAATTTACTTTGTTCATATTACAAGGAAGCCTGGGGTCAAGTTGATTTCAGAAGTGATTAGATCCAGATATTCAATGAGGTCTTTATCTCTCTCTTCTCTTTCTGTTATATCTCTATCTGTGCACCTTTCTCTCTTTCTCTGTTATATTTCTGTCTGTGCGTCTTTCCCTCTTTCTCTGTGTCTCTCTTTGTCCCTGTATATTTCTTTCAGGTGTGTCTCTCTGTTTTTGTGTCTGCATCTCTATCTCTGTCTCTCTTGTGTCTCTTGCTCTTTCATTGCATTTCTGCCTCTGTCTCTCTCTCATTTTTCTCTATCTGCACACTTGTCACTATTTATCTGCTTCTCTTTCTCGCTCTGTTTCTTTTCACATCTCTCTATTTTCTGCATCTCTCTTTCTCATCCCCTCACATCTTACCTCATCCTCACATCTTACCTCATCTTTGTTTCTGTGTATGTGTGTGTGTGTGTGTGTGTGTGTCTGTCTGTTGTGTGTTTCTAGAGTGTCTACCAAAATTTTAACAATTTTAGGAAAGATTCTGATTGGTCAAGCCTGAGAAATATGCACACCTCTCTCAAAAACATCATGTACATGGAATTCAAATAGCCAGCCTTGTGTCCACCCCCTCCCCCTCATTGGTAGCAGAGATTGGACCTTCTGGATCTTAGTAATGCTGTAAATGATTCCCCAGAGTGGAGATGTCTACCCCTGCCATGTGGAGCACCCTGGCCTCCAGAGCCCCACCACAGTGGAGTGACATAAAGGGCAGTTTGTTTCTTCATAACATGGACCCCAGGAGATAAATGGCAGAACTCCCTCTGCTTCTAGGGTCCATTGTTGGGGGTGCTGACTCACACCCATCCTACTCCTTGTCTCCTGCACAGTCACCTGATGGCACTGCTGAGCGTGAATTCTCAGAAGATAGAGCTCCCCTTGCCTTTGGATATAGTGACCTATTGATTCCTGACGACATTCTCTTCCCAGGTGTTAGGATGATCACTACACACTGTGGCTCCTTTGACATGGGCCCAGTGTTCAAGCTGGTCCTCATCCCAGGTTCTGGGTTTTGTCATTAAGACAGGTGGCTAGGAGCTTATCTCTGAGATTATGGGGGGCCATGCCACTGAGGAGCAGGCATCTCCTCCCTCCTCCCTCACCCACCCATAGGGCTTGATGCACCAATGGCAGGTCCTTCCCTTTCCTGGATGAGGTCAGAATGAGAACTAGGCTTCCTTGGGGCCTTCCTCTCCCATACTCTAGGCTATAACACAGGTCATCTGACATGAGCACTTATGAATGTGTGGACAAACACTGACACTAAGGATTCTGCTCCACAAGGTCATAGTCTGAATCTTCCTAGAACAAGATGCTGAGTGGTCAGAGGTTCTGTGCTGGTTTTGTCATCTTCCTCGGGGTGGGCATTGTCAGTCACCACAGGAATCAAGAGGGAGTGATACTCTTGGGGAAGTAAGAAGGACTTGTGATAGGTGTCCAGGGAGCCCTTGGTCTCTATATAGAGCTCTTTGCTGTTGACCCTGCAAAGACAAGAGACAGGGCTCGAGATTGAACCTGACTCGGAGTTTAGGCAGACATTGAGATCTGATTTCTCTAGTTGAAACTTAAGCCCTGTTATAATGATGAGTTGAAGAGTATATTCTAGGACGTTCTTACAGTTCAACACTGTTACACTGGCCACATGCTATAAGATTCCTTCTTAATGAGAGGGTCAGAGTCTTCTTCCCTTCCTTCCAGTGACAGTTGCATAGAAATAACTATTTTTCGCACCAGGATTTCATTAGGTAATCTTTAATTGATAATTTAATCAAAATAACAAGTACATCCTGTATCAACAAGTTTGCAACAGAAGGAGCTGAGACTTAGTAGACACATACCTTGGAGAAAAGTGTATGAGGGTGCCAGAGAACAACCTACTAGTTGTGAGGATTTGGTCTTATCTTCAATCAAACGGCAGGATTTCCCTCTTGCTCATGGCTGACTAGTATTCCATTGTATATATAACACATCTTCTTTATCCATTCCTCCCGTTGACAAATATTTTACATTGTTTCCATATCTAAGCTATTGTGAATAATGCTGCAATGAACACAGGAGTGCAGATATCTCTTTGATATCCTGTTTTTATTTCCTTTGGGTATATATCCACAAGTGGAATTGCTGGATCATATGGTAGTTGTATTTTTAATTTTGGGGGGAATCTCCATACTGTTTTCCATAGTAGCTTTACCAAGTTACACTCCTGTCAACAATGCACAAGAGGTCGCTTTTCTCCACATCCTCACCAGCACTTAGCTCTTGTCTTTTAGATAACAGTTTCTAACAGATGTGAGGTGATATCTCATTGTGTTTTTGATTTGCGTTTCCCTGATGATTAGCCATGTTGAGCATCTTTTCAGGTACCTGTTTGTATGTCTTCTTTGGAAAAATGTCTTTTCAGTTCCTCTGCCCATTTTTTAATGGATAGTTTAGGTTTTTTTTCTTTAGTTTTATGAGTTCCTCATATATTTTGGATGTTAACTTTTTGTTAGATAGTTTGAATATTTCCTCCCATTCTGTAGGTTGCCTTTTCATTTTGTTGATTGTTTCCTTTGTTTTGAGGAAGTTTTTTAGTTTGATATAGTCCCACTTGTTTATTTTTGCTTTTGTTGCTTGTATTTTTGGTGTCATATCCAAAAAATTGTTGCCAAGAATAATGTCAAGGAGTTTCTTTCTGAAAGTTTTATGGTTTCAGATCTTACACTTAAAGTTTTAATCCAGTTAACTTTTGTGAGTGGTCTAAGATAAGAATCCAATTTATTTTCTTGGTTTTTAATTTTGTTTTTTATTTTTATTTTTTCCAGTTTCATTGAGATGTAAGTGACATATATAACATTGTGTAATTTTAAGGTGTATGGCATAAAGATTTGATATGTGTATATATTGCAAAATCATGCCACAATAAATTTAGGCAACATCCATCTCCTCATATAGTTACAAAAATATTTTTTTCCTTGTGAAGAGAACTTTTAAAATCTTCTCTCTTAGCAACTTTCAGATGTAGCACACGATATTGTTTACTATGGTCATCATGTTGTACGCATTACATCCCCAGTACTCATTTAGAACTGGAAGTTTGTACCTTTTGGCCATCTTCACCTAATCCTTCCCCCCACCTGACAACCACAAATCTGATATCTTTTTTTTATAAATTTATCTGTTTTTAGATTCTACATATGTATAAGCACATATAGTGTTTGTCTTTCTCACTTAGCATAATTCCCTAAAGGTCCCTCCATGTTGTCACAAATGGCAGGATTTCCTTCTTTTTATGGCTGAATAGTATTCTGTTGTGTGTGTATATATAAATAGTGTGTATATATATAGGTACACAATATATATATATATATATTTTTTTTCTTTATCCTCTACATTTTCTTTATCCACTCATTGGATATTTCTATGTCTTGGCTATTGTAAATAATGCTGCAGTGGACATAGGGGTGCAGATATCTCTTCAACAGTGGTTTTTTTCCTTCAGATATATACCAAGAAGCGGAATTGCTTGGTCATATGGTAGTTCTATTTTTAATTTTGTGAGGAACTTCCATGTGGCTACACGCATGTACATTTCCACCAACAGTACACAAGGGTTCCTTCTCCACATCCTCACCAGCATTTATCACGTCTTTTTGATGATAGCCACTCTATCAGGTTTGAGATGATATCTCATTGTGATTTTGATTTTCATTTCCCTGATAATTAATGAAATTGAGCAACTTTTCATATACCTGTTGGCCATTTGAATATCTCCTTTGGAAAAATGTTTATTCAGGTCCTTTCTCCATTTTTAATTAGATTATTTGCTTTTTTGCTATTAAGTTTTATGAGTTCTGTATATATTTTGGATATTAACCCCTTATCATATATGTGGTTTGCAAATATTTTCTCCCATTGCATAGTTTGCCTTTTCATTTTGTTGATAGTTTCTTTTGCTGTGCAGAAGTGTTTTAGTTTGATATAGTCCCACTTGTTTATTTTTTATTTTATTTATTTATTTTTTTTGAGGAGGATTAACCCTGAGCTGACATATGCCCCCAATCCTCCTCTTTTTGATGAGGAAGATTGG